GGGAGGGCAGGGCAGCGTGGGGACACTGCGGGGACACCCCGAGGCACCTCAGAGGCACGGCGGGGCACCTCTGCCGGTCCAAGGAAGGGACTGAAGGGACCCCTTGGGACACATCTGTGACAGAGCACGTCCCCAGCCTTGGGAGGGGGACAGGGCACCCGGGGGAGCATCTCCGGGGGTCGGATAAGGATTGGGCACCCCCAGGGATGCACCCCGAGCCCGTCACTGCTACTGGGGGAAGGGTGGGGCACCCTGGGGGGGCACCTTTGGGGCCAGGAGTGGGACAGGGGACCCTGGGGACACACCCGGAGCCCGTCATGTCACTGGGAAAGGGATGGAGCATCGTGGGGGGGCATCTCCAGGGCTGAGAGCAGGACGGGGTACCCCGGTGGTGCACCCAGAGCCCGTCATGTCACTGGGAAAAGGACAGGGGACGGGAAAAGGATGGAGCACCCCGGGGGTGCACCTGGAGCCCATCATCAAGACTGGGGGAAGGACAGAGCACCCTGAGGTGCATCTCTGGGGCCAGGAGAAGGATGTGGCACCCAGGGGATGCACCCAGAGCTCATCATTGTCACCGGGAGAGGGACAGAGCCCCCTGAGGGTGCATCCCTGGGGATGGGAAAAGGATGGGGGTGCCCCAGAGATGCACCCCGAGCCCATCATCAGCACAGGGAGAAGGATGGGGCATCCTGAGGGTTCACCTCTGCGACTGGAAGGATGTGGCACCCAGGGGATGCACTCAGAGCTCATCGTTGTCACTGGGAGAGGGACAGAGCACCCTGGGGGTGCATCTCCAGGGGCAGGAGAAGGATATGCCACCCCATGGGTGCACCCAGAGCTCATAATTGTCACTGGCAGAGGGACAGAGCACCCTGGGGACGGGAGAAGGATGGAGCACCCCGGGGACGCACCCAGAGCCCATCATCAGCACCAGGAGAAGGAGGTGACATCCTGAAGGACCATCCCTGTGGCCAGGAGAAGGATGGGGCACCCTGAAGAAGCTGCCAGCGCCCTTCTCCGGTGCTTAGGGTGGGGTGACAGGTCTGTCCCCGCGGCGGGGCTGGTGGCCGGGGTGGCCAGTGCTTACCTGCCCGTTCTTGCAGAGGTCGGCCCACATGCTGGTGCCGTCACCGCCACGCATGAGGACGTGGTAGGTGAAGAAGTAGGTGCCAGGGATGGAGCAGGTGAACTTGCCCGAGGTGGCGTCGTAGCTGTTGCCCAGGTTGGTGACAACGTCGTCGAACTTGAGGACCTCGTAGCCCTCGTGGGGGTTCTTGAGGCCGGCGTAGAAGGCGACCCGTGGCACCGTGCTGTAGGTAGCCGCGCTCACCGCACCCGTAGCCCCTGGACCTGGTAATCCTGGGGGTCCCGGT